TAGGAAGATGGCTTCATCAACCCGAAAGTTGCGCAACCGTCGACATGAGTCCCCCACTTCTCTTTCCGTTTGAAGGAACCGAGCCACTCAGATTTTTAGGTCCACACTACTGTTTGATTGATTATTCCACTTCACTGGTCTGGGTGCAGTTTGTGTGCCGAACAACTCAAGGTGCAATAATACCGGGTTACCCAGATCGAAACAAGAGGAGTTTTTGGGGACAGGACGGGGCGAACCGAAAAGGCAGTGGGATGGAGTCGGAAAACCTCATTACACTGGGAATCGGTATCTAGTAGAATGGTGCGCCACTTGACCGAGGTCAGACTTATGAGGTGTCCAATCAAGTTGATGATCGCTGATCAAACCGGGACGGTGCGGCTGTGGTTTAGGCACCCTTCTTTGATCAGCCTGCAATCAGGCTTTTCTAACAAACCTTCTGTGTGAGTTGTCGGTGGTTTGCCGACCCGGTTAATAACCCCATGGGTTGGCTCTTCGTTCTTTCAATTTGGTGGGAAAACACCGTGGCTACGTGAGTAGGGCTTGTTCAATAGGGACTAATTGAGACGGGTGGTAGTTTATGAGGTGCAAGGGAGGACCGATCAGTGACAACCCATGACAAACCACCGAAAATACACATGATTAGGTTCACACTAAGGAAAGTTGGAAGAAGAAGCCTAAAGATTCCGTATTCGTGGGAAATGGATGATCTGAAGGAAACGCTGTCATTGGGAGCTATTTAGCAAGAGGCTGAAGTGGATGGTGGGAAGTAAACATTGATTTTATTGTGCATATTAAATTCTTTTGATTCCAGTTTAGAGTGCACTCAATCAAAAGGCTGCTGAGAAAAAAATATTTCACCGTTGTTTCCGTAGAAACAATGATCAAGTTCATACCTTATAATCGCCGGTCGTATCGCTGGACAAATCCACCATACCGATGTGCCAAGGAACACTAGGAGAGCCAGCATCGATGGTTGAAGAAAGCCATAAACGAGTATTTTTACTTTGGAGACATATGAGAAGAAAGGGATGAGCGTGGAAAATGTTTTCCACCTACCAGGTCACAGCGAACTCATTGCCTAATTCAGAATCGGAACGAGCGATACAAGAACTGGGAATAAGAAGAGAGAGAGATATTTCAATATTGAACAGATAGTTCCTAAGCAGTAAAGTGACTGGATAGAGACAGGATAAGGAAAGAAGAGCAGAGAAAAGGTAGAAGGGGAGAATAAGTCTTGTTCCACGCAGATCAATCAACAATCAGCGTTCAAGAAGAAAACTAATATCATTAGCGCCATCAGAGTTTGATAGTGTAAGCCATGGGAAGATTTCGAAACAAATGATTGTCATCTAAGCTAAATTTGGAGCAAATTAGATATTATTCTTTGATTGAAAACTCCTGTTTCTTTAGAACCTAGAATGGAGAAAACGAGGAGCTAGATATCAAAGAGGATTGATGTTGCATTGCGGTGCATTGTATGCGGTAAGGAAGATACGAGTATCGTGGAGTTCTACCAATACACTGACAATTACCAATACTCTCACGAAAGGAATGGTTGTTTGTGTGCAATGCTATGGCTACTAGTGCTTCACGGTGGTTGTCAGATACCACATTCGGTGATTACCCACAAGCATGATCACAATAGTTTACGAAAACGGTTTGTGGAGCTAAGATAGACAAGGATAACAGTGGGAATATTACGTGTTCATTGCTCAGAGATTTCATAAAGAGAGAAACAGTAATGCAATCTTTCAAATGGCAATCCCATTCCGGTTTGACGCCTTGATGATTTCGGACTTCATATGCACACACAAAAAGATCAGTTTGTCAATCTACTCGACCGAACAGAACGGTCGCAACTGCAGTAGGTATATCTTTATGTCCCTGGTTATCGCAAAAGAACGGATGACAAGATTTGAAAAATCACCTGGAAAGAGAGATCTGATTCACTTTCCCCAGGTAGCCTAACGTAGCCTAATTCCATGCTATCGGAAATTCACACGGCTTACGATACTTGGACAGAGCGAAACGTGACAACAGATTTGCTTACTTCGAAAGCACATTTGTCCTGACAAAGTCATTGGGAAACACGCCGGGCTGTATCTACGCTGCCCAATTCATCCGATCCGTAACAAACTGCGTGAGCATCAATTACAATCTCAAGCCGGTGGATATCAGCACATACACATGAACTCTACGTATCACATTTGCTCGGAGAAACTGGTCGCACGTTGGTAAAGTACACACAACCTTTCGTTTTAATGTCAAGTCGACACTACAGGTGTTCCCGTTCGCGCTTTGGACATTAGTGTATTCATCAGGATTACTGTGTCAGTTTTGCTTGACACTGAAAAAATCAATCATTGCTGAACCATGGTTTTTTTGCGCAGGGTGGCAAGAACAAGGTAGGTTAAGAAAACGGATGCCATGGATCTCTAGAGCGAGGACATCAGAGAAAACATCTGTGAGATGAATAAGCTTAGTCTACAACTGATTAGATGAATCTAGAGCTATGTCCGAAGATGAAGTCTGAGAGACGGTCGGCAAAAGCTCCTTAAGTGTGGATTCTGTTTCACGATTGTAAACGATCAGTTCCAACGGGCCCCAATCATAAACACAGTCCGGTATCATCAAAAGTACCGTGAAAAGTAAACCAATTCAAAAACTCTGATAGTTATGAGAGTTTCGAATAATCTGATACGTAGTTCCTTCCAATGATTCTTTCGCTATCGTTATTAGGCAAAACGGAACAAGAATGTGTGGACAGCAGGGGATCAGACACACTACCGTGTATGGATAAAAGTGAATTAATGTCTTATCTGTTGCATAGACATGTAGACTAACATTGATGAAGCTGCGTACACTCTCCCCCATCCCACCCGCGGAAAAACACAATTCAATTTTCATAAATATGCTCGATAAAGAACTAGATTTAACTTGATACTTGATGTTTCCAGACGTAATCGTTTGTCACGTTATCGATCCCAATGTCCGTTTTCAAACACAGATTCCCGTTTTCACCTGATATGTGAGTGTTACCGATTAGAAGACATACGTACAACAATGCAAACATGATGGGTATGCACAAAGTATATTAAAACACAAACCTGACCTATTCGATTAACATATGCCAAAGAATATGAATGAACACACTGATGAATTCCATTCCGTTCAAAGCATATTATAACGAGGCACTGAAAGCAGATGAGTACCGAAAGTTGAACATCCAAACCGAAGTAATGAGTTTGACATGAGCTCGTGGAGTAACTAGCCACCTTACACTGATTGGTAAGGTGAATATTGAATCAACTCTCATCTACCCTTCGATCGCGTACACGGTACAACACAACTCAAACGCCAACAGTTCAATTGTTATCTGCCCCATCCCGCACGATATACAACTGTCATCACCAAACGGACAAGGACGTGATTGTTTACTCCAAGTAAACCACATTTTTTATTGCACACTATGGTTTGATGAACGGCAGAAGGGGTAGAACCCACAGTCACGAGAGCCTACTGTACACCCGTGGAAACCTGCCAACCTTATCCCCGGGACTTGGAGTGGTGAACCATCTAAGGTCCCAGAATCATGGGCGTGGATAGAGCCCAGCGACAGCGAAGCTGTTATGTGAACATTCAATAATAGTGGAGTATAAACCTGGGGTAATTAATCGCTTCACTGAGTGGAACCGGAAAATAGCGGGGATAATAGAAACAAATCCCAATCGAACGGAACCAAAAACAAACAACCGTCGAACAGGATGTGCAAAACATTCACACCTTATAATCCACTTGGGAAGCGTTTAATGGAATCAGAGCTTGATTCCACAGACCTCCAGATTGCTGAACAAACTCCGGCTCCGTGTTCCACAGACGTGTATTTGCACTAAATAAAAATGTGTTAGTGGTATGGTGACCGAAAAAGACGAGTGTTATCCTACCAGTTCAGGGAGAATTCGTTTGCGGAACCACGCTGCACAGCGACACAAGACCTGAGGTTAGAAACAATCAGTGGCAAGGAAGCGCGTCAACCGCATCAATGTATGAATGCACTAAGGCTTACAGCGTATAGTGAAGGAGCAAAGAGGTAGGCAGTGAATGGAAGCGAAACAAAGTGCAGTGCTGAGCGCCATAATCATCCGGATCGGACAAAGTAAACGAACATCCGACACATTTCACACGACAGACAAATTGTGTGTGTGGGGGGGGGGGAGAAGGAGGAAGGACAAAATATCGATACGAAGTAATTGGTTGAGTCTAGGAAGCCAAAAAATTAAATTAAGCCGTTCTAAGCAAAGAAAGGAAGATTCGTAGTTTTGGTCTTCACGATTTTGAGGCCAGTAGTTACTACCGCAAGGTTATGGTAAACAAAGTGTCACAAACTGTATCGATTCCAGGGAGATGAGAAGTATACTGTGCGAACAAACAACGTTGCAAACAGTAACGACCAAGTAGTCACCGAATCTAAAACCAGTTTGGAGTGGTTGCGACATTATCCGCAAGAAGAAACAGTTTGTAATATTGTTCAACGACAACTTCATAGCTTTGAACTAAATATTTCTGTCAATCAGCGGGAGATCAGCGCATTCAGGGGAAATCAACATTTCAATTCAGCACAAGCATAAGCTGATTTCGTACATTAATGCGGTGTAACACAACCCCGAATGAATGCAGAGGGGGGAAACTTGGTATGAAGTTCTAAATCCATGGAGGAAACACGAGGTAGACGGTTAGACAGATCCGATGGGGAATGGTGACTGGAAAAACTCGCGAGCAACTACTATCCTAGTTGTGTTCTAAGATGGTGTTTGGTAGCCGTCAAAACGTACTTTTAAACCCTAACCAAGTCGCTGTATAGCCCATTTCTCAATGCATGAACAAGAGAAAGTGTCAACTTTGTTGTTTCAGCGACAAAAGTTCACCAGTTATGTCACATTGAGCCGATGCCGTATATGTGCAGCTTGGATAGTGGATGCTCCTAGTGGCTTGGTACCGAACCTACCTTCAATTTATGACACCGAATGGAACCTGTGCAAGTACAAATAATTGCACTGTGTGGGGAAAATAGATAACACATCTGTAGTTACACTGACCTTTTTAGAACGTCACTTTTATTGGTCATAAAGCCTTTAGAAGATAGACGCGTAAAAAAGCACCACGGATACTACCACCGTAACAACAACTATAATTGTAAACCACGTTCGAGTATCGATACTTTACTCATTGTTCTCAGGGAATATGTATCAAGGAGAAACTTTTCTTCAGGAAAAAGGATATACGGAAAGTACAATTAATGATATTTCAGAGGGGAAGACAAGCTGATCAGCTCTTGAGAACCATGTAAAACAACTGATGGATGTGCGTTTCTATACATCGATGAGTGTACAAACCTTATAATCACCAGTTTTTTCATCACTGTTCAAGGAGACTAACGCTTCAAGCCAGACAGATGTAGCCAGAGGGGTAGTGTCGGCGGTATGGGACACAGAATCTGAGTTCCAAATCAGCTGGTTCTCACTGAGAGAGAGTTTTATTATACGTGAAAGTGAAACTTTACCAAGTGACAGCGATACGGTCCACAGAACCCCGTTTTGAAGCAACACACGCTCTAACAGAATGTGGAGAGAGAGGATGGAGGAGAATCAGGGAAATAAGCAACTCATAGAGAAGTGAAAAAACTAAAGTACTCGACGAAAAATAGTGGAAGAAAGAAGTAAGAAGCAAATGACCAGAACGTGATAGGTGATGTTTGAGTGATCGTGTGCTCATGCCGTCAATCAATATCAATTGGGATGGCATCCAGTTCGCCGTGCAGTATGGATTTAGTTTCCAAACATTTTTGGGACTAGAACGAGGTAAACTCGAGTGATTTCGAAATGGTAGGTGAGGTCTTGTTCGAATAAGCAGGTTTCAAAGAAGAGATTTTTGATCGTGACATCAAACGCAGAGGAAAAACTAAGCGGAGCTCATTCAATTTTAAACCTAAATCCAAAAAAGTATACGCAACACACATATATTGCTGTGCACACCTTGTAGTCCGCAGAATGCTTAGTCTTCAAGTCCACTGTGGCTAAGAGCCACTCGGTTTGTCCCGAACGCACGTCACGTGACAACGTCGATTGCGCCGTAGAACTCCAGATACGCTGATTCTCACTAGTAAGCACATTTCAAATACTAACAAGATATGAGTATGAAGCTTACCAGATCACTGCAATGGTATCAACAGATCCACGTTCAGAAGCCACACAGGCCCTATAATGATGTGTAAAAGTGATTTCACAGTGAGTCTATTTAAATGACAAGTGGGCATTGAGATAAACGAATAAAGAGAGAAAATGACGAATGTACCGAATAAAGAAAGAGAAAAGAGAGAGAGAGAGTGGAAGCAAGAAGAGCTGCATACGAAACCTAACAGAAAGGAAGAAGAATGAGTAAGAACTAAGTGAATGACTGATCGCACAATTGAGTACTGTGTATAAATTTGGCGTTATTGCGACGGGATCCAAGAGAAACATTTTACTACCAAGGTCGCGGTTTCCAACTTCACACCTGACACTGCATATATGCATGCTTTCCCTTTAAGTGATTCCAACAGAACGAACTATGCTCGAGACTATGTACTGAATCTCGCAAGTTGCATAACCCATCCGAATCGTAGAAATCCACAAGTGGAGAGAATCTGATATTAGGGCTCATTCTATGGGAACAAAAAGTATTACAGGAGTCTATGTCCATGATGCAATGAGTGATACAGTTGACAAGGTGGTAGCGTGACTGGAAATGGAAGTAGCGATGCGGTCCACGGCGAAGAAACAAATAAGCTGTATGGTTCGAGTAGTGGGAACGTTACTAATTTAAAAACAACAAAATAAGCATCAGAAGAACTATGAAAGCTTATTTATACTATGGATTTTTTCGAACTGAATGTTTTGAGATACAAATAGATAATTTTCCTATTCACAGCAGAACTACGGCAAACTTTCGAGACCGACTAAAAAGGTTAGTGGGTTCCAGCACTGATCGCCCAATTTTTATTTGGAAAAAAAACTTTAAGGAAATCTGAATTACACGGAATGCAGAATCCAATGCTCAAATACTGCGACTTGAGAAGGACTGGATCCAAACAGACAAAATTATCGGAAGTGAGACAATCGAATCTCACTTGAATCGAATCGATAAACCGGGTCTTGTATGTATGAGTCGGACTGCCATTTTATAGAAACATTCCCAAATTAGTAGTTTCCATTTCCCATAGGATAGACATTCTGTCGGGAGTGTCGTCCAAGAGGGATAGTCTGAAATCATGCGAGTCATGTGACAAAATCTCAACCAGTTAATTAATGAACGTACACACACGCGAGAGACAAAGTACCAACAAAGTGTCATTGGCTGTGGTCAATCCTCAAAAAATGCAACCGTCAGTTGACTACGTAATTCCGGTGCGATGCAGGAGGGGGGGGACGAATGACATATGTTCACTAACAGATGAATACGATTAGCGACTGATACGAGGATGAACAAAAACGACCGGAAAATGGATATATACCTATTTAAGAAAGGATCCACCCCAAAATCGGAAGAATACACTTTATGATGTTTATTATACAAGTACCCGCAAACAGCACAAAAAAGCCACATTATGGTTTCGCATCGGATATTGCTTTTAAACAAATCTTACGTAGCACACATTCCTTTGTATGGCTTGACGGTAATATTACCTTACGTTCTTCGCTAAGTTTCATTCGCATCTTCGGTGTTGAATCGAAATTGGAACCGAAAGAAGCAGTCGAATTGCAGCATCAAATCGCGGAGTTATTCCTGTTCATAGTATAACTGGTACAAACCGCATTCACGACTTATATTGCCACGAAGATCGCAGTCTAATCATCACGTACAGACAGGCCGGTTGCTTCAATGAGTTACAATTTGAGGATGTTTACAAACATTTTTCTTCCTAAGGACTATCTCCATACACCAAAATACTCACTGATTGTGTATCTAGCAAGACTCCCTGCTACCCGGTGCGCTCTTAGGTTATGACGTGGCCGATGTGATGTTTTACTGATAAGACCATAGCTCTCCGATTCGTTCAACCTATTCAAAAACGTTCTCAAACGAGGAACATAACCAAACCACTGGCCCGCGCCTTATCTGACGCAATCGTTTTACCTCGAAGGTTGCGCGAAAATGTGTAGAGGCTAGCGAATGAAATGCACAAAGAGGTGCTGAGGAAAATCGCTCACAATCCTGTTGTAGAGAATCCTCACAGATCATTGTGAACCGTGCAGACGAATTACCCTGTGGTAGGAGACATGTGTAAAAGTTAAATAACACACTGAACTGAGTATTGTGTGCACGAAAGTGTCATCAACAACTCCACAGCGATCTTCGAATGGGGTGTGCTTTCATAGTGGTTCCCCTCTGTTCGACTGACTGAATGTTTCAACTCATCAAGACTTTTATGCTCGCGGTCATATTGTTCCTCCTGTACACTTGAGCGAAGAAATTACTGTTTATCAGGAGTGATTTTCTCGCTTATTGTCGAATCAGGGAAGGACCGTTCACGTTGTATTGTGTAATCATTGGGTTAAATCGACATATTATCTGGTTCTACAAACCTAGCTATTAGTATGTTCACCAAATCTCGTTTCTAGAAATGCTCAGGTCTTACTGCTGCAGTTTATGAGAACAGTTCCGACATTCAACACACCCCATAAGGTTTTGTGCTGTTAGTTGTTAAATTCAAATTCGGCTTTACGTTGCTTCGTTGCATACCGAAAACAAAATTTACTTACAGTTGTTCTCCCCCGAGGGATTACGATAACCAGAAACACAACTTTATGCTCTATCCCTAACGCAATAGATAATTTGATTTTGCCGAGCAGATGAATCGTTGTGTAAGGCTGAAGTTAGAGTTCTACACCCACTGTTTCGGCCGGAACTACAAATGCTCACAAACTATTGTGAAATAAGATTCACTAATCTAAAGTGATAGCTGCAATTGCTGGCAGATTTTACCTAATAAACATCAAGAGGAACATTGAATCAGTGAAAATCAAAGACCAGGCCCAAGTAAGCGAGTAGGAAGATTCTTTGGAAAGCTAAATGATCAAACACGTCGAATGACGCTTGCAGACCAGCTGCGGAAGTATACGAACGATGAAAAACAACGGAACTGGTGAGAGGGAAAAAACCCAATGAGAAGCCACAAACACGGGAGAAATCAGCGAGGAACCAAAATTTTGGAGAATGAAGACCAGTTGAAAATAAATTAATATAATATAATGAGATGCAGAGATTTCACGAATCAGCCAATGAAGGAGCCCTAACCGATCAAGTTGAACTATAATGAATCAGAAATGTGTATAAGTCAACGTGTCATCATACCTTATCTTTGTCTTAATTTGCCATGTCATATGCCAAAAGCCTTTGGTATCAATTTTCTTGTCAGAACCGTTATGCCAGAGCGAGCTGTTTACAGTATTATAAGAGGATTACAAAAACAACCAACAAATATTCTTTGAGTTACGCGAATCGTGATTGAAATCAGTGGTAAACCACACAGACGAAGAAAAACCGAAGTAAACCGCTAAGCGTTGTGATACCACTAAATGCACCATTTTGATACAACCGTAACCATGAACCGGTTCTCTGAACATTGCATCAGGAAGCGCAACAGATCTGAAACGTGTTGTTCACAATTTACCTTATGTTTATGTTTATGTAGAACACATTTAATGGTATCATAAGACGGACTTATTTGAACAGGGCAGAAGCAAATAAAGATGTCTAGAACAAAGTCTCTTGTGGAAGACACAGAACAAGGCGAATCACGGTCCGGGCGACGAGTTACAAAACAGTTTCCAAATACTAATATTAAATGTGGATTAGGAATGCGTGAACACAGGGAAAATCGTGCAGGATGTGAAATCACCTTGTAATCAGACGAAGGTGTATCCACAAAAGTCAAGTCTACAAGCACGGAGTGCCAGTTACCAAGTCGGATATCAGTCAGATTGGACATCCATAGCTCCTCGTTGTCACTGAACAACAGTGGTGTTAGAGTAGGAAATAAAAGCATACCACAGAATGGAAGACTTGCGACGAGTCGAGCCACGAACCATTTGTTTGCAAGAACTGGAGGGGGAGAACATTTTAGGCATAGAAGTATCAGCGGTCAAAGCCGGAAAAAAGGAGTGGAAAAAAACAGAGAAAAGATAGGAACGGAAGAAAGGAAGCTAAGAAAAAGGGGTGATAATTATCACGATGCGAACGTGAAACCGAGCGCTCAAACTGAAAGTACCCATGTGTTTATGATATCCCAAGCTCGGAGCAGATCCCGCATACGAAGGAAATGGTTGGAATCGATTCTACTGCGGAAGTGAATCCATGCAGACAGTACGATTTTCTTTAACAAACATTATCCGTTGAAAAGGACGTATCACTCGGAGTAGATCCATGAGCACCACGAGATGAATAAGCGTGACATGAGAAGTATTCTTATCAAAATCCAACTTATTTGTCTTATACAGAGTGAACCCCCAAAACAATTTCGAGTTCGCTGTTCCGCAGACCTCGTTTTATTTATTTTCATCCAAATAAAGGAATGACCGATGATAACTCCAGACTGCCTGTGAACAGAGCCACTGCCTTATGAGGATCAACAGACCTTCAGATTGGTCAATTGCTACCCATATTCAAGGATAAAAGATGAATGTTGAAGAGAAAATCAGGTCCAGTGGTAAAACCCAAACTTTCGGCAAGCACTGGTAGAACTATAAACCTCATTCCGTTGCTCGAGTTGTAGCATTACATGAGAGATTACTGGAGAATGCGAATGGCTTCCGCATATTTTTTCCGTAATTAGACGCCTAAACGAGTGGTACTAGTGGGACAGTGTTGCTAAATAAATGACAGAAATCGAAGGACTAGAAGGAAAATAGATTACCTTATAATCCGGAGAGGACGATGCGGTCGCAGCTAGGTTTACAAACACCGAGTGCCAACCAACCGGCTGATTTGGAATCGGACCGGAAGTCCAAAGACCATCATTATCACTGCACAAAATACAAGTATCGAATGCGACAGCATAGTGTTCACCTACCAAACAATAGAAGAACCACCGGAGGGACCTCGGGGGACTTGTTTACATGATCTAAGGTTTCAAAATGTAGTGGGAGGAAGGGATTGTGAGAACCCAAAAAATAAATAATAGTTGTCATGAGAAGTTGAAAGATTTAAGAAAGAACAGAAGAGAAAGGCGAAAGAAAAACACGTCACTGGATTGTGCGCCTACATGACAGGAAAGGGATAGAAATGAACCAATCACCGCCAACCAACTTTGGTGTTGTCCGATTCAATAACACGTCTAACTTAGCAGGGCTTTTTGTGGTTCGGGCTTAGGTTGCCGGTTTCCACCACAGGTCTTCGTGACCCNNTCGTGACCCGAGTGTAATGGAAAGTGAATGAGCAGTACATGGGTGGGGGCCGGTAAGTAGCTTAACACTAAAGATTGGATCTCTTGACACGTACTAATTTTCTACGCACTGTTCCACCTGTGTACTAATTGTGCTGTGACCGGTGTTTCCTTTGTCCCCAGAAGCACACTGGAAAAGGACAGCATTCCCATTTTTAAATGAACGAATGATTCCGATAGAGTCATTGGAAAAACAAAGATGTGGCGAAAAAGCCTGTTTCGGTGCTTTACTTACTGCACCTACAACAC